TGTCCCATGTGCAGCCCATGGGTAATATGCAGATGCTTCCCATCCCCAGTTGTTCTGGAACCTTCTGTCACATCTTCCTGTGGACATTGCCTTTCCTGGCTCTTCCAGAACCTTCTGTCACATCATCCCGGCAGATTCTGTGGACCCACCTGTGTCATCAGGGCCCCCCTCTGATAGGGAGATGCTGTGGAGCCCATCGTGACGGGCTACGGTTCCTCATTAAACACATCCCATCCCCAGCTCCCTGTCGTTTCCTGAGCCGGAATCCCACATGCCCAGGGCTGTCCTCACTCCCGGTGGTGACACCGTATTCCCTCCTCCTGTTCCCCTCTCTTGTCCACCCCCCTTCTCTCCGCCATCAGATCTGCACCTGGAGGCCTTATGGGAAGAAGGCTGTCGTGTTTGGGAATAAACACTGATCTGGGGTCTTCTCAGAGGGGATTGTCGCTAGGACAGGAGTTGGCTGTCACGTGGAACATGAGTAGTGGTGCCCCGGGCAGGCATGAACAGGATCCCAGGGCCAACCCCAAAGACAAGCATCCCTCACGGTGGTCCCATCTGTCCCACAGCTAAGTGGCAAGTGGCAGAGGCAACTGCGCTGGTCCACACGCTGGATGGCTGGTCCGTGGTGCAGACGATGGTCGTGTCCACCAAAGCACCCAGCAGTAGGCTTGTCTTTGGCAAAGGAAACTTTGAGCACCTGACAGGTGAGTTCGTTCAGACACATCCCTTGTCTTCTCTTTTCCCAAAACCTCCTTTTGTGTCTCGTGCTGCCAAGAAAAGTCAATTGAGAGAAGCAGCAAAGTCTGGTCCCAAGGGGAAGGGACACAGAGGTCTCATGGGTTAGCTGGATCAGATGTGGGTGAGGGTCGGGGAACGTGAGGCTGAGCCTGCGTCGAGATCCAAACCAGCCCTGGGGGATGGGCCCAGTACAGGTGCTGTCGGGGCAGCGTCCAGCACATAGGGTGGAAGTTGGACCCACTGTAGGCCCGCCTGCCACAGCAGCCTCCAAATTCTCTCTCCAGGCAGCCCACCACCCACTCTCAACACACTGAGGTAGGGTCCTGTATGGACCCCCACCCCCCTCAGGTTCCCAACTGTCCCCACTCACAATACAGGGCAAGGGAGACCCTGCAAACTTGCCCCGGGGCAAGTCTTATTTCCCCGCCTGAGTCTCAGATGCATCTAATCCCTGCCTGGCACGTTCACCCCCATCTGTATGTGTGTGTGTATCTGATGCACACCCCTAAAGATAGACCCCCGTCTGCCACTGATTTCCTGGATGGTGAGCTCAGGACGTGGGGGTTGTCAGTGAGCACAGCCCACAGAGGAGCATCCCACCGATGGCGTCTGCAGGATCAGTCCCGCGGTGACCATCTGGAAGCACCAACATCTGATGGGCCTTGTCCTCCCTTAGAAAAAATCAGAGGGTCTCCAGAAATCACGTCCGTCTTCCTGAACGTGGAGAGGATGGCTGCCCCGACCAAGGTAGTTCAGAACGCCGTTCTCGGTGGTTCCTTCTGACACTCCGGGTGTTGAAGGAGTTTCCCCAGAGTGTTGGCCTGGGGCTCCCTTGTGGAGTCTCCTCACTCGCTCCCTCCTTTTCTAGAAAGAACTGGAAGCCGCCTGGGGCGTGGAGGTGTTTGATCGGTTCACAATCGTGCTGCACATCTTCCGCTGCAACGCCCGCACGAGGGAGGCCAGGCTTCAGGTGGCGCTGGCTGAGATCCCCGTCCTCAGGTACCCAGGCAGAACATGCTCGTCTCTGAAGCCCTCACCAGGGCACACTCCTTAGTGTTTGTGTGTTTGATCATTTCCTGAGGTGCACGGGATGTCCACCCCTTCCCTCCATCCAAAGACTCCCCCCCCCCCCC